TTGCAACTTCGAGGTCACCGCCTTATATGCACAAAGTAAAGAAAAATTGTTCCCACAGCGTCATGAATAGCAAGTGAATCAGTAAGTGAATTCAGCCGACGCCCTAACTAGCGAAGCTGCACCTATCGCAGGGGCTAAATTTGATGCAGTCGGTACGAACGGTGTTGTTTGGGTATAGTGGGTCACTGCGCGTCTACGTGTCGACGTGAGACCTGGATATTTACAATTGCGGTTCCGTAATAGCTTGATGTATTTTGCAGGTGGTGACAGGCAAACACGCATTTTTTACGAAGTTATGTACATAGCTACCGGGTATTCGTGTTCTTCTGCATACGATTAAGTTGTTTTATCTGCGATTTTTCAATCAATCCTATGATAAAATGCGCCAACGTTTAGTTTTCTAGGCATGTTGTACATTCAGGTACAACGGTTCAAGCACTGCTTGTTTAATGCACACTTGTCTTTCACTGCAATGATGAATGTCGATGCGTGCATGGGGTGCAGCTGATTTACGCTGGGTTGTACCGTAAGCGTTAACTTATCTATGTACGTGCGACGTGCTTCAGCGCACGTACTACCCTAGCCAGCTGTCTCCAGGCGATAGGTGACGGCTCACTCGTCGCTTGTCAAAGTACGCCTGAAGATCATTCAGCCTAGGGAAAGCGAACCCTTTAAAGACAAATTACACTTGTTATCTAGCTTTGTGCGCCATTCGTTTTAGATAGTATCCTTATCTTCATCGAAGAGCTATGTAGAAGAGTAAATTTGAGAAGCTGAAAGTGCACACTTCATTACTTAGGAATAAAGCTTAAATGAAAATAAATGTTATGTTATAAGCAGGTATTGATCTGCTTAATAGCGCTGCGTATAGTTGCTAAACAGCGAACGAGAGATGGAGGCAGACATGATTTCTCATATTTTAACCGCTCTGACTTGATTAGTTATTGGCGGCTCTGGATGTTCGGCAGCACGGACTAGACGCTCACTGCCGTAAAACACTGCCGTTTAATTTACTGCACGTAGACAAAATACGTATAGATTGTGTATTGAATCCATAGAATATTTCCAATTCGTGCAGCTTTTACTTGTACTCAGCCAGAAAGTCCATCAGTGTGCATCTTCGAAAGCATTGACGAACGACAAGAGAGTACATTAAAACTTAGCAATATTTACAAATTAGCACATAGCTGCTATAACGGCCTGAGGTCGACTGGCGTTCAGCGTAGCTCTCGTCTCTTTACCGAAACGGATTTGCCTTTAACGTTCCTGGCGTTTATCGTTGATAGAACTGGCAGCTGAAACGTCAAATGGTCATAGAGAGCAAAGTGGGTCGATGTACAGCAGTAATTCATACAGGATTAGCTGTTACGAGATTCGACAGACGACAAAGAGATTACGAATGAACCTACACTGGCCTACTTTACATAACTCATAAAATAATTTATATCTGAATTAACTGAAATGACGCATTGGCTATTCAAGTTTATTCTTTATTGCTGATAGAACGACGTGAACACGCACAGACGCACGCAGAGACCGGCCCCTGAACCGTGTTGTCCGCCCGCTAGCTATACATATGTATATATATATTACCAGCACGATAGAGTAAGTTCAGCCTAAGTATAATAAGTTATTCGGCTTGCGACGCATACCAGCTCAACAGCAAACATAGGCGTGCGCGACATCAAAGTTTAAGTTAAGACGATTGTGAACAGTTTTGCAGCATCGCCATTCGCGTGCCGTCTTGACAATAAGAGGTGCACAACGTAATGGTCGATGTCACTTGCCAACAACAGTTAACAGAATGAGAAGATCACTTGACATAATAAACGGTAGGCCAGTTTTGCTTGGCCTAGTAACTATATTTAGAACAATTCTGCCTTGATCCATGTGGCCTGTTAACATACAGCAGGGGGAGTCGGCTGTCAAGATCTCTGTCGAACTTTTAACCACTTTCGCCATGTATTGTAACATATCTTTAATTAGTCGCATTCGATTCGATTCGACTCGGAGGACGAGATCGCCTGTCTGCTCTACCATCGTTTCCGGAAAGTCTGATATCTCTGTGTTATTTCATCTCTATTCCGGTCAGTGTTTTATCGTTACCGAATGTGGTATTATGAGCCTGGTTACCGCTAGTCACTAGCCGTATCACAAATCTTGCTCGTGACTGCGCCAGTGTAATCCCGCTATTTATATATATCTGACGGATATAAGCACACAGTCCGCATAGCGTCTCATGCCCTGGGTATACATGTCGTCGGTATATTGTTTCATAGTATGTTCTGATAAACTGTACAAGTGTTAACTGATAAAGCATACATCTTACTGTATATCATGCCCTTTAGGTCGCTGATACTGAGCATATTTGCTAATCCCTGTGGTGACTCGTTTACTTTCAAAGATTTCGACATCTGTAGATCCGAATGGTTGAAACAACTGGCCAACCTTAGCTAGGTGACGGGGCCATACTTTTTTCGTTAGGAGAAGACGGACTACCTTAAGAGATAACGGCATCGTTGGCTGTTGCAAAACACTATTTCCTACTATGTGCCGTGGTCCGTCAAAAGTGTATCTTTCCTTCGAGGACCAGCTACGGTAAGAGTGACACATCGTTCTCACCGTTTGTATTGTCAAAAGCGGATCTCGACATATCTAGTAGTGTTACAGCAAAGATGATATTAGTGAGTGTATGGCAAGCGTTATTGGCAAAAATACAAAGAAATGCATTTTCCATAAAGAAAATTATATTTTTTACGTATAATTGGTAGTTTAACATCAACGTCGTCAAGGGCTGCCATTGCCCCTCCTGTGTTAAGCAGCGCCAAGAGGGTACGAAAAGGGGAGCAGGTTTTTTGGAGCACGATCGCCATCGGCGTGACGGTCACATGACCAACTTTGGCTCGTTGACAGCGTTGAGCCACCATCCGACGCTTGAACGATTGTGCCAAGTGGTAACGTGACGAAGTCTTACTAACAACATTGTATCCCGTTTGTAAAACTGGAACTATCGATGTATGTGCACTGATCGCTGACCCTTTCTAGATCGCATCAAAGGAGGCAGCAGCCCGCCGACGAGGGTATAGAATGGCCTCTTACTTTTACGACAGAAAACTACTAACAGGAGATATATTTGTAGAAAAAAAACTGCATTCAAAAGTACTCCTAGCTGCGCCGCGTAGAAGCTGTGTGACAACTGATGTATTTCCCCGATTCACAAGTCTGCTTGTTATGGCATAAGCTGTAAAAATATGGCTTAAAATATTGATTGAATTTCGGATTTTTTGCCATAGATTAAAAACGGACGCTCTATCTAGATAGGGGGACAGCAACGATTTATCTTTATGAGCAGAGCTGGAAATTTAGGATGCGAATGCTGTGCCTACATTCATCAATTTATTATTTTTAAATGCGTCAGTTTGTCGTTTTTATTTCACTTCTTTTTAGGACACTGACAAGGCTCACTATATTCACACAATTCAATAAACTTAATTCAGTTTTGAGAGGAAACAAATTTCAGGCTGTGGTTTGGCAGGAGTCCGTGCTGTACGCTGGCAGCCGTCGCCATTCGATGCCTGAATGAAGTAAATCCATATGTCTATATGTTATGCTTGAACACACGTTAGGCTGTTGGATCCTTTCAACCACTTAATCTCGAAAACAATTAAAGTCGCGCTTTTATCCTGCGCGAGCGTGCTAGGTGGGCCATTTTAGATAACTGCTATGAAGATATGTACACTTATTGTTTGTTTCTATCCCGTTATTCATCCTACCTATGCATCTGTGGGTCTCCTTCAGCCCGTCTCATCCTCAGATTTCTAATGGAAAGAGTCAATCGAGATTCATTTGAATGCTACAGATAGAGTAACGTTCGTCACTGCACGTGCACCTAGTACCCGCGTGGGTTTGCTGTTCTGCTGAAAAAGACCTCACCTAACTTTTTTGTTGTTCCTGTCTGGGACGATATTGCTATCAATATCGTGATCCGAATCCACTCGACCGTTGCAAAGGCCGTGGTGCCATGCCGTTATCGTAGGTAAATCGCGAACAGCTGTTGACAATAGATATCTGAAAGATCATCATGTGCTATTGTCGTCTCTTGGCGAATCTGGCTATAGCATAGATACTTTTCTCAGGTTGATCCTGCCCGACCTAACCTCTTGAAACAAAGCCAGAGAACTAATAGTGTTGTGCCTACTTGACCCGGCCAAGAACTCGTTATAGGAAATCGCACAAAGGAGCACGTCTACTCGTGAAATAAACATTCTACTGGATTTCAGCTCGTTGAAAAGCGACTACGGTAAAATTGTTCACCGGACAACGGAAGAGATGGCCTTAATGGTCTATAAGCTGTGCTGTTAGCGTCATTAGGGCGAGCAACAGCCGTTGTGACCTTATTGAATTATTATATCGCTGTGACGTAATTGGGATAAATCTTGAAGCAGAAGCAATGGGAGTTGATGAAAGCTAAAATTTTTAATAAGATGCAAGGTAAGAAGTGAAAGTTCTTTTAAAATGGATCGACTCCATCTTCGTTTGATCGGACGATCTGGCCTGACAGTCAATCTAGTGAAATTCGTTGGCCTAGCATTTGCACGAAATCATCCAGTACGACCAATGCGCTAGCAGATGGTGACATCAAGTTTTAGGAATAAAGATTAAACAGTCAATCCCAGAGTTGGAAACGTCGTTTGGAGTAGTTTGCACATCTTATTTACGTAATACTGTACCATATATATATATATATATATATATATATAGGTATAGTCAAAACAGGGTTAATGTGTGGCTATGTTTTCACCTAATTTGGGACGGAGTTTGCTGTCAGTGTTGATTAAAGATTTTAAAATGCGGCCCTTTAAAAGCAGCGAAGACCTGTCCTATGCTCGGCTGGGTCGGGTTTAATAATAGCTAATCCCTAATAGCTAATAGCTATTAGCCTTAAAAGCTGGAAGTCAATGCAATCGTACGTGGAGGTGGTAATAGAGGCGTTGTATGTTTATTTATATTGTAACAGAAGTACTGTTCCGTCCGTTTTTTCGTTCAACAAATAAGAACAGCGTCGGTAAATGTAAAAAGTCTCAAAATATCGAACTGAAGTACCCAGTCGCTTGGTGCTTCCGAGATATGTGCCGAGCCAGCGCAGGCGAAGATGCGTTGCATTATTCCGTGGCATTATCCTTTACGAAATAGAGAAAATCGTCTAACAACATTTGGTGGTGTTTCAATGATTTTTTACTATACCATTTTTTGAGGCAAGTGTACTTTTTAAACTACCAACTTGACACAGATGAATCTCTGCTAACGATAACGCGCCCAGGTCAGTGGTGGCTCGAAAGGAAGAGCCCATATGACACCGGGGCTCAAACTGCGCTGGAGAGTTATGACGTGGTCCTACAGAAACACCGAAATCGACGGTCAGTAGCGCGTTTTCTTTTTGCTTATAGAACCGCAGAACGAACGACGACGACGACGACGACGACACCGCGCCGTCAAAATAAATCACTATCATCATCACAGTTGCCACCATAGTCGTCGTCGTGATTATCCAGACATTGGTCAGAACAGAGACTTCAGGGGTCACCCTTTTTTTGCCGTTTTCTGAAAGAGAAAAAAGAAACCTATACATTTACAAAGGATGCGTAATGTACTTCCGACTATATCAATTTAAGCTAAGAAGATAGACGACAACTGCTAAAAGAGCAATTGTTGTGATTAGGATGACACTCTGCTATCCCCCGCCAATAAACATGAGAATGATGATGATGACGGTCATAATTTTCGTGTGTATAGGAAACGTTAAAACGTCCGAAAACCTTTATGCTGGCGGTACGCAGTCACTTTTTGTACATCGGAAACGTCCTACGTAAGACAGTCGCTAGACGCCTGATACCATAGCTTTGATGACGCTTCTACTTACCGTGCCGTTTCTTATGCTTTCTAATTGCGCCCAATTCTGGGTTGACACCATTCTTGAAGCATGAATCTTTAACCTCGACTAAATTGCAATCGGAGTCCTTCAGTGAAATGCACGCTTGCTATAAACGCAATTTTAAAATGAATTATTGATTATTTTTTTCGTCTTTGAATTACGTATCTACTACTGAAAGCGTGGCGGAAGAACGACGAATACAGTTGCTCTGCCTCCTACAGCTGGGAGTATCATTGAAAAAAAAGCACCTGTATTTACCTCGTAGTGGATATTAAGGTCCTCGGTCAATCGCTGGCTGAAATCAGACAATTAACACACAGAAAACGTTTTTACATTGGAAACAAACCAAAGTAGCAAGGGTTAATTGTCGCATTTGATTTAAGGTAGGTATGTACACTGTGGTGGCGAATATGTTCGATGACAGGAACATATTGATTCGTTTATTCCTACAATAATAAATTTATTATTGGGACTATAGCACTACTATAAACAACGACTGCATGTTGATAATCTTTTTCACTGGAACCTTTGCCTGACTAGTCGTCGATATGTTACAGAAAAACCCGTTCAAAAACATCTATGTAATCCTACCTCGTTCCTCAAGTGTAAGAATTCATATGGTTTTGAAATAATTGTGTATCCTTACGTACGTGTGTGTGTCCTTACAATAGGGGTCGCAAGCGACACAGCACATGCAAAGGAAAGCTCCCAAAAAAATGACTATGTTGGGATTGCTATATGAAAGTTGGGAGCCCTATGACATAAAGCAAGTTAAGGGCTCAATGTGTCATGCTTTTATTATGTTATAGCATGAGCGTATAGAGATACGCCGTCGCTTGGCACTATTCATTTAGCTACGGTGGCTAATGAAAATGTTTTATTTTATATTTTTTCCGCCTCACATGTTCCTGTGTTTCTAATAGATTGGATTATGAAAAATTACGGCTTGTCGATGTAACAGGAAACACGACGAGGTCAGTGGCCCATATTATTAATGTACTATATATATATCTATATATATATATATATATATATGCTTTTTTGAGGCGTCGACGGTAGGATAAGCATTGCTTCGAAGCAGCGAGTACAAGAAGTATGTTTATTGCAGAACCACACCTGGATTCGAGTAACTTAAACACAACTTTGCGTGTTTCTAAAGTTAACCATCGTGTTAGTCAATGACGACGAAGACATCATGTATCAGACGTCCTCAAACTAAAAAAAACTCAACTTTCAAAACGTACATATATGAAACTCGTACTATAGAAAGCTGCAGGCACGTCATTATGTTGGCTGTACGGGACTGTGGCATTTTAATGCCAGTTACTCGCGAAACATGGGACATGATCTATCGTGTACTTTAAACATAATAAGTAATGCGAAGGAAACTTGCGATTTTTAAAAGAACTTGAAGCTGCATTCGAACAACGATGCCAAAAGCGTTTTAGAACAGAAATTGCTTTTTGTCGTGACGTTCTGCAAGTCGCGATATCTAGGTGTAGGCATATTAGTAGAGATCGCAATTACCAGCTTCGTAATTAATAATAATAACTTACGACAACTTCGCACGAATCAGAAGTATTAACTTACTGAAATTAGATTTTTAGAGGTGTGCAGTGTATGACGGAGAAACCTTGGACGAAGTGGACGCTCTGTGTGTCAGTCAACGAGCTATGCGGATAGAATCACTCTTCTTCTGCGAAAGCCGGGGGTGGAACTGCGGCCTTGAGTGCTTTCATCGACGCACAGCGCGCTTTTTTCCGCTCGTTGGTAGTCGTTTCCTCTTTTACAGAGGCCTTCTCGAGTCGCTCGCGGTATTCGTGACCGGGTTTTCTTCTTTATCTTTATCGATAGCTCAACACAGGTAACGGTATCAACTATGCAACAATTGCTACAATAGGGGAGAAATCAGGTTTTTTCGAAAGTCGCCTTCTGTCATTGCACTGCCGTAATGCACTATAATAACCCAGCGAATGTGTTTCTGGCTGAGTTACTTAGCCTAGGTAGGAACGAAGCTATTTTGCTCAATCCCTGACGCCATACAAAGACGACAGGTAATACAAGTCCGACGCGTGCTTTGTAAAAATCCAGAAAATCCCAATAGAACACTTTTCAGTACACCAAAAAAAAGATAGAGTAGGGCGGAACACATAGAACTATCAATAAGACATCGGTCTTAGCAGAGGGCTTTTCATCATTGTATGACTGATTGATTGACTAGCTGGCGGGCAGGCGGAAGGGGTGGGGGGGTCATACTTTCGGATGGCATGCGATGAGATCGGTCCTGCTACTTCGTCTTTGTTGCCGTTTTGCGTTTATACGGCTGCAACGGTAGGTGGGCTAATATCGATGTAAATGGCGAGGAAAATGAAGGTATGCGAAATGCTAGACGTCCACAAACAGAAAATGATAGAAATGATTTTTCATAGATCGTATGAGCAAAAATGCCATGTAAAAACGTGAATCTTTAGAGAAGATGACAAAGCCCCCACTACTTTATTCGTTCTTGTTGATTCCGCTCGCTCGCTAGCAAGAGTCATTACAAAATGTCCGAAATAACGATATTTTTTGGCGTATGCTATTCTTACTGCTAAATAAATACATTTTCCGATTTTACCTTCAGTACTGCCGTTACGCGTTGCTTTCTGCGGTCGACCGCCACCAGGACGAAAAAATATGCCTATGCCCGGTTTCGAACCTAGGCCATTACGTCTTCCCAAGTTCAGTAAGTGAAATTTAGGATTTGCTGAACTTCTACTCCGTCTTAAGTATGTGTGTCTGCGCGACAGTTACTTGTGTGCAAATATAAGATCTGCCCATTTAGAAAACAGGTAGTATTGTACATACTGCCTATCTAGGCAGTTCATCCTTTGGTTTGGATCAACGAGAAGAATAGGAGAACAGTCGAAATGCTAAGCTAAATCGTCTATTAAAAGTTGAAGTAAAAACGGCCTTGTTAACGTCATTAGTCTCCTCAACGTTGGCCTTTCTGTGAATGTCTCACTGACGCAGGTTAACAATAGGGACGCTTGACAGAAATCCTGCTACACCACAAGTCCGTATCACCAAGATAGTAACTATCATTATCTGAATGCTATAAACTGCGGCTGGTCAGAGGCAATACAAATCATAAGGCACAAAAGCAACAGGGACGAGTCCTGCATGCATTTACTTACACGGACATTTTATTGAGAGGCTCTATTGAACTCAACGTTTATCTTATGTGTCGTGCGTCAATTGTATATACGACAATGATGTCATGAAAAATCAGAAGCTAAATATGATGAAAATGCATCTGATGATATACTTGACAGATACGAGTATGTTATGCGGAAAATCTGGGATTAATAACAGAGATAAAGGAAAAGAACTTACAGTTTTAAATAATTTTTGCGGTCATGGGCAGCAGAGTAGTTCTAGGCTGACGGGTGCATTTGATTCTATGATGATATTATATTGACATTATGTTATTTCGACCAGTTACATAACTTCCCGAGTTGTAATTTGAAGTTAACTGCAATATGATGATGATGATGACCCACCCAGTTGATTTCTGGGTGATTTTTCTAATAACCAAGTTATTCAAGTGCACCTTTGGTCGCATCACCGTTACAATGTAATTGTTCAACAAAGGCGTAGCTTGCATTAATAATTAATGCATTAAAAAGGTATTGATTTTTGATTATTTGAAAGCAGTCTTTTTTGGTCCTATGTCGAAAGGAATATACAACAGATGCTGACCTTAAGGTAAATGCCGAAAACTTCCATTGTTTTCGCAAGGGTTTAATACTTAGTTACCTGCTATAATGAATGTACATTTAAAGTCGTTCACCCCTTGAAACGTGTTGTGCGTCTAGTCTTGGTAAACGTCGTAGAGTCCCAGCTATCCGTGCGTTGCCGCTCTGTATATAAACGGACTCGAGATCTTGAACCCAACGACCTATATCGTGGGAGCAAGCAAGGGCGGACTGTTACAGGCCTTTTTTGCGATCTTGCTTTTTCTGCTATGACCCGTCCGTGCAGTCGAAAGTAAGGTCAAAGTAAGATTTGCAGACGAAGGTGTGGCTCCAAATAGAAAGGGAAAAACAAACGACTTCTTTGATCGGCTAGTCAAAACAATTAGAGCGCGGATTCTACTATTTAAAACATCTATCTAAGAAAGTTTGTCAGTGTTTAGAACGTGTCGTGTTGTAAAACTCTCTACGACCTTAACATTGTCTATAGCGAATTCCCTTCATTGTTAAATGGGCCGCTTTCCTATGAACAGCATACGCCCTCGCATAAAAGGTTGTTGGGAAGATCTACGAGCCATGCACCTATAAGCATGCTTCGATAGCTTCGCAGATTATATCATCGCCACTTGACAACGACACGTGGTTTAATCATCTTCCATGCTCTCGATGAGTGTAGCTTCACTGAAGTTAAACAGAAATTTACTAGCCATGCGTAAATACTAAGTACTTCTACCTGCTAACTGCATTACAAACAAAGTGAGATCGAATTCATTTGTTTCTTCATAGATGAGTTTACTGTCATAATTACCTATTAACTTGTCTGTGAAGAATCCGTCTGCCGCGCGCCGTTCAGGGACCGACATGTCAGCGTGATCAATTGCGCTAGTCGACTACAAACATACATATACATATATACGCGTTAAAAATTATATCGAAAATATCAGCAGAGAAGTAAGTGTTTGGCAGATAAGAAAGAGCCCGCCGACATTTATTTACCCGTCAGCAAGCCGACACTCGGTCTCGGGACCAGACCGTGACAGTAAAGTCGCTTTGTAAAACTGCAACAGAATCGCTATCTTCATCAGAATGACGATCGCAGAGAAGCAAGAGTCAGATAGAGTGACTGGCAGACAACCAGTCTCGAAGTGGGGCCTAAAAATAATATTATATACCCACATTCTTTGACAACACGTATCAAGCGTATAATTACTACCCTTAAAATGGTCGTAGTTCCAAAACAGGGACAGAGTACATTGGGGATCGGGTTAGAAACAGCGACAGTTAGCCAAACTGATGAATCATCTATGAAATCGAATCCTTCTTGCTGTTACCGGTTGCACTGTTTATTGTAACGCCCCAACAGCTACGTTTATTCAGGTTAGGTGTGCGTGTTTCAGCCGTGCGTTATATATATATGTGCAGTATTTAGAGACGTCACATAATGATCCGCACTATATCGGTTGTTTCTTTTCTCTGTGGTATTCGCCACTGCCAGCAGAGCTACCAAGTCAGGAATGGTAAAATAGATCAAACTGCTGTTGTTATCATTGTCAGTGATTTGATCCGGAACAGAAACGGAGCTAGCAACAATAGCACGAGGAAGGTAGGTAACTTTGAAAAGGCGCCTGCAGGGACCACTGAGGGGTCATGATGCGTTCACCTGAAAGGGTCAACGGGCGTACGTTTAGTAGAACTGCTAGACACAGCATCGATCCCAGTAAGGTCTTTACGTTTTTTGCGGTGCTCCTTTCAAGTGTTATCAACGATGCGATTATTATTATTGCCGCTAAACGGTCATCATGATAATGTTGAAGCTGCTGCTGTTCCCGCTGTAGTTTTTGTTGTTGTATGTTAGAACTCAGTTATAGCCGCATTCGATCGTAGACGAGCCATGTCGGATCGGCCCTGTGTAGAGTGCTGACAGCAGTGACACTAATGAAAACGTGTAGATTTTCTGTGCAGAAGAATTTTTGCTTTTGTTGTATAAGAAAGACCGCAGAATTTCCAAGTGCAAATAATCTCTGCTAGACTTACCCCTAGGACACATTTTGTGGCAACAGCAGGATTGGAAGGACGAAACAGTTCGTTTGTTCCTGATGAATCGCTTTGATTCATCCCGAGTATAGCTCCTCTGATGTCTGATATATTAATTTCTAAGTTAGTTCCTGCGTATTTCGTTTCTTTTTGTTCCGGTCATATCCGTAGCTGCGATCGGCCAAACATGGCTGTGTAGCAAAATTTCATATTGTCTTTACCACTGAATCGTGGGTCCTGCGAGTAATTGTAAGCTACAGTTTTCGTTAATGAGCTACGTGCACTGGGAACTCAAGCGGGTCTGGTGGCGATATCAGAACCTCGATAGTGTGTTTCTCAACTGGTGTGCATCGTACTGCGTGACTTAACAGTGAGCCAAAGGATTTACATGTTGGACGCTCATCCGAGACCATCACTGTACTACAGTCTCCCAGCAATGAATGAGCTCGAAGCTTGTTACGTCGAAAATAGAGAAAGGACTCTGAGGGTCGTCATATCTACCAAGCCAAATGAAATATTTCGAAAACTGACCGTGTGCTAACTGGGTTAAAGAAGTGGGGCCTCGCAAATAAACTGTCGAAGTTCTATCTGCCGCAGGAAGTATACACGGTTCAAAACACTGGGTGATTCGTTGATTCTGTATTCACATCTCAGGGAATACCGGCGAATAATATTGAGAGCTACCTTAAATAAAATAGCAAATCTAGCGCGCGCATATCAGATGCGCTGGCGCCCGAAAAGTACGTCTGACTCCACGCTACGCACAATGTGGCGTTCGACAGAGCGATGGCCCTCTGATAGTGTAGATGAGGCTGATCATGCTTGCAGTTGAAAAATCGACTCAATTACGTTGGTAGATGCCGCTTTCGTCGTTATCTTTGTTGTTACTATTCGTTGACGTCGTCCAGGTAAATGAAATAGTGGTAGAATGGCGACAGCTTTATGCGTTTTTTGTTTATGATGACCGTACTCAACTACGCTTACGCGGAGCAGCGCAACGTGCAGTTCCATTTGGTAATTATTCACTTGCAAGACAAAATATACGGGCAGTAATAGAGAAAAAAAGCAGTGGGCGGCGACATAAACAGGTTTATCTCGCTTTCTTTCCCTTTTTCTGCTACTGCGAGTTGATCGGCAACGCGCAGCGGCTGCGTGTCGAATTATCGCGAGCGTCGAACTATCGTCGGCGGACCAGATGCTTATGACAATGGCCGGCCTGCTGGTTTTGGCGCGACTATTCCTATCGAATCGCGCACTGTTGCATGAAATAAGCGGCGCAATTACAATATTCGATGTAATAGCATTTCTCGTCATTCTAATAGTATCTATAGCAGCAGCAGCAGCAGCAGCAGCAGCTGTTGTTGCGTATCAAATTTGCGATATCTCGACATATTGCGCTTGTGAATGTTCCGTTCGTATACGCAAATGGCCGGCTTGAACGCGTCGATAGCGTGCACTCATGAACGCACCCGTACCTTGACAATAGTGCCCACCAACTGACAGTATGAACGACAGACGAGTTTCTCATCAAAGGAGACGCATGCTGTACCATTTCGGAGAGCAGCATAAACGTGTGGCCGAGATTAACAGTCTTCGGCTACTCTTTGAGCGGGATCTCTACTAGCCTGGCTAGTTGTTTGCTTGATGGCTCGTTCAAAGAGCGGTCCTCATCGAAGTACGTTGTCACTCACGGTTGGATGCTCTGATAGACTGTAAAAACTACGGGGCAGAATGATGAGTAATTTACAGATTGATTGGCAACTAAACATAAACCGGTAGATCTTGTCGTCGATGTTATGCGAACAACAACCATGCCGGCGCTTTACTGTGTTGGCTGAACCATTATAACAATGACCGGCAAGGTTACCACCATCTTAGTGACCGTCTTTTACTGCATGAAGCTAGCAATCGATTGGGTAAGCGATCCCCAGTTATCTGTGCCGATGCGTAGTTACTGACTGACCGTTGTGGGTTAATTGATTTTATTTTAAGATGCCCTTTTTTACGTAGTTGGTCAACGTTTGAGATGCTATGAATGAGCCACCTAATCTGGACGTGTCTTTAGAACCGGGTACCGCTGATACTAGTTTAGATAGGAGAAACTATTGAGTAGTGGTATGTAGTTCAGGTGTCACTTTTTGACGATAATAGAAGCACTTGCACGCGCCATTGATCTCTTCTGAGACACTCTTTATCGGTTCTCCTTCATCTCCATCCTCCTGCTTCCCTAACCGCCAGCACCACCTAGCGGCAAATTACGACAGCGCTACTGCTGCTGGACAAAGGTATCTTGGTAATTTATCGTCTGCTAACTAAGGTTTAACAGTAGCGCCAGTCCGCCACCCTATCAACTACGAGTCATCGTGCTTCCAGTAGAAAAAAAGCATAGCCATGCTAAAATACCTATTATCTCAGGAATGGCCATTACTATTTTTATCATAATAATATCAAAATATACCAGTTGCAGAATAGTTAAAATACTCCAACGTATTTCTACACTCCTTGGCCTCAGTGAATCGCAATATATTATTTTATGCGTAACGGTTAGGATTTTCGTGACCCGAACAAACGGCAAAAGGCGTCGCTTGATTGCTCGGCATCATAAAAAATATCTGTTTATAATTTATTAGCAGTAAATAAAAAATAATCGAGTTAAGCTGCAATTTTCATTACTTTGCTACATTACTGCCATAGCGACTCCTTTTCTTACTTGGGCGATTCGTTGTTCTTGTTGCTGCTGATGCTGCCGCCGCCGCCGCCGCCGCCGCTGCCGCTGCCGCCGCCGCCGCCGCCGCCGCCGCCGCCATGATCGCTACTAATCCCGCTATCATTGTGTTGACTTGTGCCTCTTTCTGGCCTCTATATGACGTGTGATTAGGTTTTTTTTCTTTTGCAAAACACTCGCCTATTCTTTAAACGACTTATAATCGCGCTGCATTTGCTGATCTCGCATGGAAAAGAGACCGACCGCATTAGGCGGGATCACTTTTATGAACAATGGACATAGACTATACCCAACAGAATGTAGTAATGTAGCGCCGGTGTTGATGACATCGTCTGCCGTCCTGTCGTGACGGTAATCGTCACGGTCGTGAAAAACGAAGAACGAACTAATTAATATCCCATTCTTCCTTCCTGCCCAATAATAGAATATCATTAATTAAAAGCACCAATTAAGTAACGAAATAACCGCCACGAGAATGAACTGCGTTCGTGTTTACAAAATCCTTCCATGCGTATACAATATACTGAATATGAAGTCTAAATCTACTTTCATATACAGGACATACTATAATTAGGCCGCTTTTGTCCAATATGACGATCAGCACAATATCTATAATAAAGACATTGTCATGAGTGAGCTTCCTTTTTACGCTACGAGCACTTTCTCTGGATAACATTTTAAAGAGAATCATACTTGAGTAGCGGCCGATAGTTCTACATAATTCCAGCTACGTATTATACCCAAGGAGAAGTAGGTGCGTACACGATGCCTATGGAACATCACCATTATAATGCTTTTTTTATGGCCACCGCCATATTGCTCTGCTTACCTGGCACCCACTTATTTTGGACTATTACTTTTCAATATGTTATTAATTCAAAAGGAAACCTTGAGCGTATTTTTTTCGGCCTGGGACGATTTTTGCTTTGACCTCCTCGTGATAGCTGTTAGTACAGGACCCTACTTTGCGGTGAATCATCTAACTGAGTTTACTGCTCGTGTTTATCTAATGTATATTTTAGTTAGTTTGTTCGAGCTGCCGCCGAAACAGCAGCAGGTACGGTTCTTACGAACTAAATGCATAGACATAATTTATCTATATATAATTTTGACTGTCCAGCGTAAACAATACTATTATCGAGCAATACAAAATCGACACTATTGGCCAGTATCGTAGATGATTACCGAGGATAACATATTGATGGTCGATTTTTTCTCAGATATAAACCTCGGTACGAGTGAAATGTGTCGTACCTAATTGGTACGCCTTGCCAATGATCAGGCTAAAAAAAGAATAGATGGTGAAAAAAATATATCAAATCGCGTAATTTTCTCCTGTTGTAAATGTCATAGGGCTAAGTCCGGTAAACCGATTAATACTTTTTGTTGAGATTTTTATTCAGCCATAGAAAATTGGGACATTTTCAAAACGTTCCACCCAGAGGGACTTTTGCTAGCCGATGAACGCGTCATACTTCTTCGAGTTTTTTTTCACTATGAGACCTTCATTTATTAACCGACATAAATGACATTGTGTTTACGCGCCTAGAGGGTGTAATATAGGCTCGAACGCGTTCCTTCGGGTAGCGACAATGGACGCTCGCTGAGTAAAATATTTATAGAGGTAGTGTTGCAAGTAGGAAATGGCACAAACTATCATTACAACGCCAATGCTATCTGGCGGGTAATCGTCCGAGCCGTATTTTTGGTCTACAACATTCGACCCCATGTGGTCTCTCTCATTTTGGTAACAGTCACGCTTGAAAGCTGGCACCGAAAAAAAAAAAAAAAAAAAAAAGATTTCTGTGTTACGGCTGAGTTTCAAATAATAACTGGCTAAATTTACAGCTTTTGATAGTTATTGTTGAAGGTAAGAATTCTGTAAATATGTTTAATTACCACTACTAATAAACCGCTACGGACTGCAGAAGCTCCGCCGAAAACAAAATGACTTTTGTTTTCGGCGGAGTAGAGCCATTACATCCTAACTACGTAACCTAAGCAGACGTGTAGCGAACTTTCATTCAAGGCCATGATAGGAATGTGTTTATACACACAAACCTTTTCCCATCGATAGGTCAAAATACTAATCAACTATGACAAACAAGACTTACAGCCAACACAGGTATGTCTTTGGGGAATTTCGAAGACGAGTAGTTTTTTTTCCGTTTGTTGCTCAAAGATGCAACGGGATGACTACTAGCTTGATGATTACGCGGCTTGTCATCGATCTCGACCTCGTACACAGTAGCTCTATCGCTCTGGCGTATAATCACTGGCATCTAGAAGCATCTTCGCCGTGGCATTACATGATAAAAACTCACATTATGGGTCCGCGCCAGGAGATTGTGCCTCATCTGATATTTGGAGCAGGCCCTTGAAGCTGCTCGCCATGACTGAATGGGATTTGGAGGTCCACGGCGGCGCGTCTTACGCCCTGCTGCTGCCCCTTCTACTGTTGTATAATAAATTGAACGCGGCGTGTGAGAGTATTCGACGGTAGAACCCTTGTACACCGACTAGGACTAGTATTCGCTATTTTCGTCCGGGTGATATTGCCGATATGGGTTTCGCTACGTTAAGACTTAGTCTCGTTTGTGAACTATTCTATAGACCTTGCACGCAAACATATCCTTTTTCTAATACTTTAATATTCAGTATTAATAATTTAGTTTTTAATTTAATTAGTAAAATCGTTTTTAATTTTGACAAAAGGCAACTAGAATAATGAAATAGCAGATGGAACTCTGCTTGCGTAATAAATTGTTCTTTTTTTTAACTTTTTTAAAATAGAATCAACAGTTAGGACTACGCTAAAAACCAAAAAGCGTAACTTAATCTAGGTCGCTGTCCTATCCGCAGGTGGACAAAGGAACAAGATATCTCACTATACCAACATCATTTGTTGACTTACAGGCGCAGTCTGCTAACTATTTAATAACGGAACAGCTGCGGGTGCTGTCAATCAGCAAGTTTCAAAGATGTCGACCGATGTGGCGGTGAGTTTAGGCGCCATCAAGGTCGACACAAGGAGCCTGAAGCCTTTCAAATCATCTGAGGAGTACCTCTGGGCAATGAAGGTACGTGCAATTATCCTGAATCTTCTATTAGTCTTTCAGATGCGACGGGGAAGTTCATCGTTGACGTAGTATCACAAAGAATTTGAAAATTCAATTTTATTCTACCATGGCAGAAGAGTAAGCTTTGTCCTGTATACAGGCTTTGTGTATGTTTGTGAACCACCAGTTGTGTATGTCATACTAACAAAACTTCGATGGCCACTCGAGATTTCCCCTTGATGCCTTACTGTGCTCTCTGCAGGTGCCTGATATATATTTCAAATAATTTCCACTAATTTGGGAAGTATCATGGATTATTTGAATCGGGGACATTTTCACTCGGTTTTTCTTTAATAGAACAAGTTCGCGTACTGAAGATTTTCAAATTCGATGGACGATTTGGGCTTGCTTAAATTTTTACAGGAGGATCTGGCAGAATGGTTCAATGAGATGTACCAGACAGGCATGGACGCATTCAACTTCTTCGATAAACTTGAAGACGGTGTAGTGTTATGTCGGCACGCTAACAACGTAATCGACCGTGCCGAGAAGCTTAAAGTTGTCAAAGTTACTCGACTGAACGGAAGTCCCAATTGCAAAGATCTGAAGCCGCGCACCTTCCGCAGATTCAATTACAAAAAAGAAGTTCAGCCTGGTTAGTGAATCTCTCCAAGTCTAACTGTCGGAAATAAAACCGATTTAACAGTTTGTTTTTCAAAGAACAATACAACATGAATTATGCCTTTGTTCTCGCCTAGAAATACTAAGACGGATAGTATAAATCTATCGATGCCGAAGAAACCTGATCAAATACGTCCGTAAAGTTGCAACTTACGCTGAAGTCAATTTTATGTTTTCAAATTTATGTTTTCGAAGCTGTCATACTAAATCGATTTCACTAATGATGTTTATACGACAGGTTCATGGCTGGCACGCGATAACATTTCACATTTCATTGAATTTTGTCACGACCTGCAGATCAACGAATGTCTTCGCTTTGAGACGGACGACCTTGTACTACGGAAAAATAAAAAATCTGTAATTTTGTGTTTACTTGAAGTGGCCCGGCATGGGTTTCACTTTGGTAAGCTTCATCATATTAGTTGGCTGTCATGTATAAAAAAGATATATCGTTTTCGAGTAAAAGTAAAGTTGAATAGCTTTTCTTCAGAAAAAACAATGTCATTGAAGCATTGTTTGTGTGTACGCTAGTTTCGTTAAATTTATATGTTTTTTGCCGAAAACAATTTTAATTAGCATGCCGCACCAGGTGTTCGCCAAAAGGGAACAAGCAAGCTTAACGTGTATTATCATTTGTTATTAAAACATATTTTTTTGCGTTGCTTGGTATTTTTTTCTCTGGTTAGGAATGACAGCACCCGTCCTTGTAAAGATGGAATTCGAGATCGATTCACAGCTTGCAAATCGAACGTCCTCACCAGAGTCCAGCGCAAGTTCAGGCCGCTCTACTCCCACAGGACCTCGAGTGAATAACGAAAATAAAACCGCTAATGGTCAAAGTTCCCCACCACTGCCATCGGACAGGGGCGTTCAAGTGGCACCAACAAGTTCACTGCCCAACGTGCAAACTGTTACGAACGACCTCAGGTCATTGCATGAAAGGGTAAACTTCTCGTCCTTTCTACTTAAAAACAACTTGGATGCCCGATTACTTTTATTCGAACACCTTTTCCAGTCCTCACTTAATCGCTGATTAGGACAATTTGTTCGCGATGTCAAAATCAAATCTCTCGTTTTCGCTCTTCATTATTCTTCGACAAAAAAATGTTAGGGGATATCGCTGAGTACGATGAGGCCGTGTGACACGAGTAAAAAAAAGCCGTGCGTCTGCAGGACACAGATATAACCAGGCGGCATCTAGCAACAGTGTTTGACTCGTAGATTACAGGAAATCTTTCGAATTAATAGTACTTCTATTTCATTCAGTCACGGATCGGACGTATTTTACAGACTATGAGGCACCTCAGTTTTTTTACAAGCCGTGAGATGCCTCATAGTTTTATTAAAACAGAAAAATACTGCCGCAGAGGTGGCCATAATATTTAAGTTGTGAAATAGTAAAGTGTGTCAGTTCTGATGGTGTAATTACATGTACAATGTACATAGGCAATTAGAGTAGGCGCATTAACCGGAATATGATTATTTCTTAATGATTTCCTTGATCGTAGATAATAGGTATGCCATAAAGTAACAGCTATAGCAGCGGTCCTTTAGATATCTTTGATTTGCAGGTGGTTGAACTCTTGGCACAGTGTAGTTGCCCCACGCAATTCCCCATGATCCGGGTTCGCGAGGGCCAATATCGGATTGGCGAATCAAAAATGCTCATTTTCGTTAGGGTAAGATTTAAATGTTTCTCTGAGTATGACATACAGTATGTATTTTCTACATACTCTATATAATAATTTGTACTTGAAATACTTTTCTTAACTTATCAGAAGGTTTCCCTTCTTATAACCTTTTAGATAATCATAACAAACATGCTGAAATAGAATAAAGGTCGATTTGTTCGTACAAAAGTTCTGTCTATCCGGATCTGGTTAGTATTAGCCCTTACTATTAGTCTCAAATATGTCTGCTTTCTTTTAATTTAATCAAAAAAAGAAGGACGTTTCAGCCCTGGCGGCCAAACAGTCCGCTACCAACTGCATAAAGCAAACGTTACTGCTAAACAGAATCATTCCTCAAACTTTCCTTTTTGTCGGTCACCTTTGCTAATTAATTTACGTCCTGACATCGTCCGCTTCTTTCGCCGCCGGCACATCCGCCTCCAGTAGTAATCCTCACTCGCCAAGATATCTCTGAAGCGGACACGAGTAAACCAGTTGCAGCGCAGTAAAGAGTAACTCCCAAAGGAGTGGGATGATTCGCGCTTGACGGAAGTTATCCAGAGATGTTCAGGGCAGGAAATATTAGGCCTTTTGTTCCTGAGAGCCTGTATCGAGGGTATTGTGTAGCAGGGTTCTCGCTGATACCAGCAAGCACCCCTTAAGCCATTGGCTCAATCCAGCACAGTCTCCTAGCATAGTTGCAGATAGTTAGGATTTCTGAGAACGTCCTACTGCATGCTCTTTGCAGCCCTAATGGTAGATATTAATAGCGACGCCAACATCTGTTGGCGCGTTTACGGCAGCATTTGTGCAAATAATTGGCTGATTGGCTCTTTCGATGCTACGCTACCGCCGAGTGGTAAAGGGTCAACGAAGTTTCGCCACAGCGACAGCGGACGTGATCTGCTAGCAGACGCCCTTCGATCGGTCGCAAGCGATTGTGTCCTTCATTGTGCAGGACACATTTGCTCAAAGGAACTGTTGTCTTGATTAGCAGTAAAAGAATACAGCTACGAGAAAGTAATTCTCTAATTAGTGCGTAAAACATGCACAGTCAGGCTACTATTAGAACTAAGAGCAGATGTAACAAACTATGCTTTTATCATATGACATATTCAATATATCAAGTAATTCGACTATTAGCTTTTATGAACCTTATGGCCTGAAGGCCAATTGCATTCGCAGTCTAACTTGATATATTGACATAGGCTCTATTACCCAGCGTCCTCGTATTTGCACCGTATGGTGACCCTCGATGATAGTGTTCTACTAGCTCGTGGCAAACTACACCTTGTTGTCAGACGACCAGAAGCACCCTCTTATAATATATCTAACAATCATAACAAATCTCGATACGATTTGATTGCAGATCCTGCGTAATCATATTATGGTCCGTGTGGGCGGCGGTTGGGACACACTTGCGCACTTTTTGGATAAGCATGATCCATGCCGATGCCGCTTTGGGCATCGTGAGACCCTCGCAGGACAGGTGCGCATCGATCGATCTGGGGGAGATCACCAAATGGTTAAACAGGTAACGAATATCCTGCGCCAAATGAATCTAATATATTTTGCCTGTTATTTAATTGGTTGTTCAGGAGAACTAGGATGTAAAGTTGTTGACTAAGTGCCGTTTATAGTAAGCCATGTCTAATTTGTTTGTTTGTTTGTTTGTTTGGCTAAAGGCTTTGACTGGAGCTACTTTGCATATAGTAGTATAAATATAACAAATATAAAAAAACTTATAGTAGTAGTAGTAGTAATAAGTTGTAACTAACTATTTGTCTTCGCGTTTTGGTTCTCAAGCAATTGCTTCGAGCTGGTTAACAGTAACTTTGAGGAGAGCTACTCACTCACTCACTCACAGAGGTTTCCACTGGAACCTCAGATGACGTCTCAATATAATATGGATTCCTCCGTGTGTGATTCCAGGTGGAGTTCAAGCGAATCATGGCCCCAGTTCCTGCGCCCAAAGAACCGTGGAAATAGAGGTTCATTCCTTACGACATAGCCAAATTGTGCTCGGGATAGCTATTTTTAGTCAGTCGTATATTTTTCATTGACTAGCCCCTGGTATATAATAAAATCCAGCTACAAAACGAACAGTTGACGTATTGATATACGTTCCTCAAGAACGCTAATCGACGGCCATATTCCTCGATGCCATACCAAATTGCAGCCCTGAATATAGTTGAATCGTTCGAGCGCTTTACTCTACTCTGCATCGTTTCAGTGTTTTTATGAGCACACTTTACCACAAGGACGAGCTGTCACCTGTCGATTGTCTCTAGCTAAGTTAGCCGCGACCTCATATTTGTCACCACTTCAAAAAAGGCGCTCGGCATTGCAGCTACTTTTCTTACACATAATTGGTCATTCCGTATAGTTCAACTATACGGACGGATCTTTTTGGCAGTATGTCTAACAACAGTATTTATGGCAACTTGAGGATGGTTATGCCTCGGAAACCTATCAGATTCGGGAAGTTTCTAAATGATAGATTTTTTTAACAACTCAATACTGTTCACTTCACAGCTACGGCTCCATATCAAGTTGCTATGAATAGCGTCAAGATAGCTGTGAGTATTTGCATTTGAAACGAGTGTATGACACTCGTATGGACCGAACGGCTTTTTGATCGTTGATTGATTGTTAGACAAAGCAATGGGGGTAGTATGCGTACTTCCTAGAGAACGTAGTTTAAGGGGTTGCACAGGACAACTGTTCTACTGACTAATAGCACACGTAAGGGCTTACTTCGCAGAAGACACTATCGCTTCCCACAGGTTTTCTGCCGTAAGATGAAATCTTAAGAGAAACGTATAAAATGAGGGAAACTGATTTATTGTGAATAGCCTTGCTATAACAGCTAGAGCTTGTAGCAAAGATATAAGCGACTTCCAGCCATAAACAAAAAACGAGTGATGTTCGCGCTCAGAGTAGATGGGCTACTATAGTGCAATACGTGCATAATATACAAAAAGAATAGGACAATAGTAAAAAAACAGAGGTTTATATCGAAGTTTTGTATATAATAATAATAGCGTTTTGTACCGTACTATCGTTTTATATACTCTAATTAATATATTACTGTATTGGATTTGAAAGAAGAACGATGTTGTAGTTATTATTACCATGAATATTATGACGCAGTTTTATTTTGTGCTTTTATCATACATACTATCACGTCTCATCTGCCATACTAGAGATTCGCTACGATAAAATAACGATGTCCACTGCAAACCATATCGTTAGCTTCATAAACTAAACCCCTTCTTTAATCGCTACTTCGAGCTTGTAATTGATAATAATAGGACCACCGAATTTTTCCGTGAGGTATAGTCAAATGTAGGGTGCCACTGCATTCAGTTTCTATATTTCGAAATCTCAAAGCGTCGTTGGCGATCTGGACGGTGGCGACGCGCGGTACACGACGATGAAACTCAGTGCACCCGATTCTCATTCGCGTCCTTGCTCCAATCTCCAAACGCTAGATCAGAACGTGAAGCTCAGGCAAAGTCATCTACGTAAACGAGATGGTCGCACGAGCAGAGTTTCAATCGTTTCACTTTACTATGGAATAGGTTTATAAAAGATAATGCTACAAATTATATTAGATTAAATTATACGCTTACAGAGAAAGCTAGACAGGGGGTGACATTCGTTGTGACACCTGTCGTCTACGCTCAAACCCTGAAAACACTAGTGGGTGTATATATATATATATATATATATATATATATATATATATATATATATGAATGACTGTTGTATCATCTCTAAAGAAAGTATATTTACGAAACGTCTAACAAACGTAAATAAGTGAAGCACAGTTACATCACCAACGACCATGAAGACCAGGCTGATTTCAGAAGAGCTTTTAGCTTTAATAATAAAGTATATACATGTCTACGTTGTCAAAGAACTGACTACATTACTTGTTGCGTTTTTTTTTTCTCGTATATTGCCGTTACATGACATTTTGAAGTACATGTCGTTGAAATGTTCTCTTTAAACAGTGCCTGAAACTATGAAGCGCCGCGCTATAGCTGGATAGCCATCTGCTCCTAGGAGAACCTTACTTGATAGGATAGACGAGTGGTAGATAGTATCGACATCCATCAAAGGGCCAAAATGTCGCACAGAAAATGTTTGTGTTACATTTGAAATACATGCTCTTTGTGGTCCTTTCGTTCTGAAGAACTAGAAAGACAAAGCATTGTTAAGTGACTTGCGTCATTTTTGCCCTTCCATCATTGTCATTCGATGGGCACGCATTTGTTAAACTATATCAAAGTTCCTTCAGTTACGAAATACTGCCCTGACACCCCACTCTTTTTTTAATTAAATTTTTGTACCAAAAGGAACGAATTGGGTTAATAAACATACATTTAGGTTTATCGATAAGCTATTTTATAAGGTATATGCAGATATATATATATATATATATATATTAAATAGATCGAAAACAGATTATATGTGCCGGCGTCAGTCATTGGCCCATAAAGCAAGCGCATAATTCATTCATTATGATCTAGTGTGGCTACAGGATGCGTCATGAGTTTTGAATCTAAACAAAGAAGAAGAAGGTGTACTGATGCTGATCTTGATGGAGCGCTGGAGTCCTTGGATGGATAGGCGGGGTTCGAGGAGATCGGTGAGGTACTTTCAGATGTCACGCGGATTCTAACTAAATTACTCATAGAATTTTACACCTTTTTTTTTTAGGACACGATTTTTTTTAGTACACGACCAAGACCTAGATACCGTGAATGAAGTCATATGGCCTATCGCAAACAACGTTCTTTCTTTATAATGAAAATTTTTATTTAGAATCGGACAGTTGCGAATAATTTCAGTTGATGTTCTCAAGCTAACTGGATGCTTCAACTAATAAGGCTTTTTTGTTTTTTTTTCTTTTTGTTAACAATGACCGTTTGTCCAACAAATGTTGTTTTTTCGTTGTTGGACGTAGGTTTTCCTTTGATAGCGCTTTAGCACTCTAGAACGCCGTACGGTTTTAGCGAATGGCTTCTTCGTTCGTTGCTCTCGCTGGTACCAGACGTAGTCTCTCTACGCACAAAATGCCGAACACCGACGTAGGCGAGGAGACGACAAAAGAAAATTAACCGATACGCTTTGCCGAATACTTCCAAAATTCACTCATCCATCTGGCCCTTCCCCTACAACTGTTTCCCAAGTCTCAGCCTTGGAAGACAATTCTGGACCATTTTTAAAAGTAAAAAATATTTTACGAGGACGTACCTCGCTTTTTCATGTCACAGTAATGTGAGGCCCCCGTTGCCTACAGAGATCATTTATTTTGAATTTCCATCCTTGTTCCGGTTCAGTTGTATTGACGAAATCAATAGACAAGCTTAGCCGCTAAGAGGCAGAATTCTGTGCCTCACTCTACTAATCCACAACCTATATGATTTAACTATCAAGTTTGGCCAGCTACAGAAAGGAACAACAATAAAATTGCACGGATGAGCTCAAAAAATCATTACGTTATCATATTTGTTGTCGTGTAGAAAAAGCGGCAAGCTGGTCACTCGCGTGCTTAAGTCCTGTTTTTAAAATAACATAGTCGGTATCAAATTGATCGTAGCTATGAACGTGGCCAATATTGCCCACTTCCATACAAAGACAGTTATCGAGCGACGCTCCATAAAGCGAACGTCGCTAGTTTCTGTCGTCTATGAAGAAGCCGCCAGTCAAGAGAATGTTCGGCTATGATTTTCCCCTTCGGTGCGAATCGTTATCGAACTGAATCAACTGGATGCCAGTTTGTAATCTTCCTGATGAATCACGAAGATCGCCTAATTATAGCGAGTAAAGAGGGCTACGTGTGCGATGATGTTGTCTCCTCATCTCGGTGATTCTATGTAAGCCGACACAACGTTTACCACTCAGAAAAGCTCATAGCCCATCGAGGTACATGTACTTACTAGGGATGTGTGTGTGTGTCTGTGTGCGTGTGTATTTAGACGATTTTCGAAAGTCGATAGGAACATACTTATCGTGTGCTATTGACCCAGTTTACAGCACAAGCTTGATCTTATAATAGACGTAAGTAGTGCACTGGATATAGCTGGACTTGCGCATTTGACTTATTCGAAGGCCAGTGAGATCAAAGGCGAGGGAGTCTGTGAATGACCATACGGTTTTTGAGGACGCTGCTACTACAGATCTTAAAAGTTACATAGAACAGAAGCTAAATTCTAGTCGTTATAGGTGGCCTAGAAGACGTGACGATGCGTCAAATCTTGTCATCACATTAAATACTTTCCAACACCCATTTTTTGCCGCCATTAGTGCTCTTTGCTATAAATGAATGCATCCCGCTATCTCATATGGGCGGCTGTCGATGAAAACACACTACTTTAGGCCACTGCTTAAACTGCTACCTCTCTACTAAAATATGCTTATTATAGACGAGAGTTACTTGTATATTGGGGGGTTGTTAGACTCCACGTCCACAGTGCATTCAAATAACTAAAATCGGTGAGTAACTTGAGGTTTTTAGTTTATCTAGACTCGTCCCTCTGTTAGAATCTGTTAATAAAAGAGCCTGATATGTTCTAATTAGTTTGTCTGATGATAACGGTCTTTTTTTCTGTTCATATTTTGCCGTTTCTAATTTTTTTCGTTTGCTTATAATTTTCTACAAAACGGCTAGAGTAATTTTATTCGTACCTAAAAAACTCTTTTTAGTTGAGATTTCAGAGGGTGGCTATGTCTAGTACATGTTCAATATTTCCTTTTCGTTTTTTTACCGAAATTAAGCTATTGACATGAGACAGGTACGGCAAGTCCCCGAAAGCTTAGTGAGCGACCTAAGAGCTCAAAGTAGCAATTTCGACCCGATGAAACCATTCCACTTGACCTTTGGTGCTAGAAAACGGTCGAGAGTCACAATCTCGGAAGGTGTTGACAACTATTATGTTCCCTAGGGGGGTTTGCGCATGAAATCGAGCCTACATGAAATGGGCATTAAGCAAATTTTAGAAAAAAAAAAAAAAAGTCATAAGCCCAATAGCCCTCCGAGGTGCTTTTGTTGAGGTTACAAGCAGATGCTACTACCGGCCTATTATTTATATCGCATTGGTGCGTAGAAGATTACTGAACGCTATGATTATTACATAGGTGCCGAAAAACGCTCAACACCGCATGTCGCGAGACACATAGGCGCATTCCCTTATATATAGCTAAATAGCATGTTGCATTATAACACTAATACGTTTTCTCATATAATCTTCACAGGCGTATATTATACAGTGTGCAGCATCTAGGTAGTGCATCAAACTTAGAAACGTTTCTTTACTTGAGCGAACATGTTGTCTATCGGAATCGAAATCTCGTGAGCTATATCTGTGTCGGGTCAACGTAATCACGGCCTGCCCTCCTCATATTGTTTACGAAGCACTGACCTATGAAGATCTTTTGAATAGTCGACTCACTTAAGGTCACTTGTTCCGATTGCAATGAAGCTGACATTAACAAAATACGTAGAAGATTTCTATCGTTGCTAGCTGTGCTTTATCCGAAGTAGCTACTCAGCATTGCCAACAGCCATTTGCAAATAAAAACATCTAACTCCTCATATGGTTAACAAATTTTGATATCATCGTTTCTTTATTCATTGAAGTCAACAAGAGACTACCCAAAAATGAGTGCTTCTTGTTGAGTCAGTTACAGTGGAACCTCGCTGCGATTCCAAAAAACAGGTGCACTATCAATCTTAGCGTAAACGTTCATCTGTATGATGAGAAGCTCAGAGAACTATCAGTAAGTATTCTGTCCGATGCCGTTTATGTGTCAATACTTGCGGATCAATCATGAGACCTCTGTCGCGTAAAATTTCCTTTGTTTCGTTTTTCTCGAGCCCGTATTGATCTAGTTATTGTTACTATTATCAGTATCCTTTGTTTCTCATAGTGAAACAATATTAAGATATCTCATCATCGTTATTATTACATGGTAATCTTTATTATTATTATTATTATTACTGTGTTAAATTGCCTCAACTTACACGACTATTTACAGTTTCCCTAATAAAATTTGTGATTTATTCGCAGATGATCTGAAGTTTTGGTTACACATGCTGATTATTGGGATTTATCGCGTCCGCAGACCCAGTTGTCACGTCGTTCGCGGACGGCGAAGGTCGTTCTTGAAAACTCAAAAAGAAGTAGCGTTTTTATGTGTATATAAAGGTTGCGATGCAAAAAATCAAGGGTCACACAATTCATTTATTGAAATTTTTCACTTAATAAAAAATTGATTACGTAATTTTCTATCGAAAATTGGCTAGTTAATCTATAAATAGAAGATCGTCGATATTTTGTTCGTTTAGTCATCTAATTACCGTATTGAGAATTAAATTAACGCAAAGCCACCGAAAAGCACGTCCCGTTTTCATATAGTGGTAATTTTTTTTTATCAATAGAAACGCATACTCGTCTTTTATGACAGCACTCGTTGGAGATAGATATTAAGCCGCGGGCAAGTTCTTCAATGAAGTGTGTATGAACTGCTATTTCCTATGCTTGGCCTAGTACCTTGTACATAGATGTGCTTACAACTGCAATCGTATGAATAAGTACAACGCAAGTAATTATATAAACTAGCTCTTAACATTATATTGTAAATGGGTTTTCAGACGACCTTAAGCACTATGTTTTTATTAAGGTTATTTACGTAAACTGTGTAGCATTTGCCGTTGGCGGGACTTGAGCTTGTTCAAGATCTACGGTGATTGGCATGAAGTGAAGGAAGTCATTTTTGGAATCGATTTTACTAAAAAAAAATGGTGCGACCCTTGCTCTTTCCAATCGCTCCTGATTATCATAAATGACAACTATCACAGGGCAAACACTATACCATATTCGTCATCATTATTATTACATAATTGTGAATGTTCATTTCATCAATGTACTATATATATATTATTACTATTATATCGTCTTTCTACTACGAGACTTTCGGAAGCAAGCACGACTCTTCTTTGACCTAGCACAAACCCATTCATCCGGGTCTGCGTGCCGTGAACATACATGCGTGCCATTGGTCGACCAAGCAATCGAAATGCCTCTAATATATCTTGCAGCCAAAGCGCCTAATAAGCGTCACGCCACTTGGACGCAATAATGTATCGGGCGCGAGTTGAGCACTTGAATGTGGACAAATCATAATAATTACGACAACGGCTACAAATACGGATAGGACACAGCACCACACACCTTCCAGGACCTCATTTTCACCGCACCCACCACCGTGCGAATTACCAATTTTCGTCACCACGAGCTATGAAGAGCTCAATATTAAATGGCCAATTTATATGAAGATAGGTGACTTATTTATAAAATGGGCGGGATTTCTGTCAATCAGGTCTTAAAAATTCTACCAAGTGTTCCCATGTTGGGGTTTGTTTATACTAGCACTCTAGGATTTCTGTGCATATACAGACATGTTGTCTTTGTAGAGTAGATGTTGCTTTAGCATGTCTCGCTCTACAGAATGGTGCGCGATTTACGAGACTATACCAATAGTAACTTCATTTATTCAATTTAACAATTATTGCCATAGCAAGGAAAAGCGAATTCTCTACTATAGACATTGTAATCTTGCGCCAATCAATGACCCAACATATTGCAGCACGGCAGGTTATACCCGATTTTTAGTATTTCCAATAAGACGTGAAGGCTTTGTCATCGTTAGGTAGCCTGACACGTGACGTCATTAATCACTGGGGGTTTCGGTATTGTCGAACCAGCTGTCAATAACCAGCAGGATCCGTATCACTCGAGGGTTGGATGAAACCCTCGATATAACAAGAAAATTACCATTAAACAACATCGCCCTCCGTATGCCTTTCAAACCCATTGAGTTTAATTAATGTTATCTTTATGTTATGATCAGTTTCATTTTAACAGTTGATACAGTCAGGTTTGTCATGTCCTGCGGGTCTGCGTAATATTACCACTGTTTGTTGAATAGTGTATATATATATATTGTAAAATGCGGGGTCCCCTCAATTAGATAACCTTTTTACTGAATGTCCTCACGGTGCCCGCAGTCAAACTGAAGTGCGTCATTGTTTCGGTTGTTGGAAATGTTGCTTGCCTAGGTTTCCAGCCTAACTAGCTAGACTCCATCTAGGCGCGATTCGATTATCTATAGACGGTTTAAAGGCTAGTCAGCGAACAACACTTCAGTTTAGTATTTTACTTTAGGTTTTTTCAGGCTGAAATCAGTAGTCGAATGATAATGAATGAATGAATGAATGAATGAATCAAGTGCTCTGCTGTGTAGCCTGGACAATGAATGACGCGACCGCTAAATGGGGCACTGAGCACGTGGTGTATATGGAATTATCAAGAACAAAGATGCTTTTCCGTATGTCAAATACATTGTCGCAATATTGTGCTCGTATACTGACTCACTGTATAATAGAACTCAATTTTTGCCTTGTCGAACTCTGGTCTTGCTCAAGCAACAATATTCCCGCTCAGCGTCCGAACCAATCATCTGATCATTCCGATCAGATCCCTAACCCTTGGGAACCCCGCAATTTATGCCTATTCCTTGGCATATAATGTTATCGGGACACCACCAGTGAAAGACGGTAGCGTTGCTTCACTTATCATTATTTTGTTGAAGTAAAAAATTGTGTGCATACGCTCATTTTTGTATTGTTTATGTTCTTCTGTCATCATCATTATGACTACGACCAGTATCGTGTTGGGACGCTGTTCGTGTTTACACCTGCCTTGACCGGTTCCCATTATAGCTTTGTTTTGGACTACCAAAAATATTGTATTTCGGAGAGATACAGAACGGCGCTCGGACCACGCTTTCCGGAATTTAAATATTTTCTTTGAATATTTCGTTGTAGGAGACTGTCATTTGGCAAATTCCACAATAAACTGTTAGCTTTTCAATAGAAGCAAGCTTTTTCGGAAATAATTAATTTTATTCGTCGTTATATATCGTGTCGTTAGTTGCTTCGGTTGTTCTGTTCCTCATTCATCGAAGCCTCCTTCACACGCCTTTCCCTTGCCTTTTATTATCAAACTTCCTGGTATTCGGAAAGGTTCCCGGAAGAAATCGCCTTCGACATAATTGTAATTTATGGCTGAGTCGAACTAATGGCCAAAGACCTTACACTGGACACCGGTCCTTTGTTTGCGCGCCTATATATTGGCTAGTATTCTATGTACACACGAGTATGTACAGTCGAGAAACAAATAACAAAAATACACCGTATGCTACAATAACGTTAACGACCAGCTTGATCATTTTCTGGGGACCCTGGAAGCTTGCTAGACTGTACAGCGTCTAATACGCTGAACGATTTTCTATCTTAAAATTTTCAAAAATGTAGCCCGAATTGTGATCTCCATATATATATATATATATATATATATATATATATATATAGTCAACATATATATGCGCATATCGATCCCCAAAAAATAGGTCACGCCCAACTTTTCGAACATGACTATAAAAATTATGAGATATTTCGACTGGTGGAAAGCGGGGGCGGCGTACTTCATCAAACGCTAATGGGTGCAGCTTAATTTGATTCAGATATTGCTTTAATGCTGCGGGCGTACGGCAGCTTTCCTGTTTTTGCCTCTGGAGCCAACGGCGCTAGATAAAATAACATATAGGTTCCCCACTGTTCATGTATAATAGCTATGGCCGAATGATTTTCCTACGCTCGTAATACTGTTTACAAACTGCACCCTTATCTATGCATTCTCTGACCCAAGATGGCGATTTGACGTTGTTCTTTCGCTCTAGCTGTCATCATTTTTTTTTACTTAAATTTTTTTCATTTATCGATTGATTACACTGTGCGTTTCTCTCACTAGGCCCGCCGCCAAGGAAACACCAGGTGCTCCCTCTGCAGGCAGTAGTTCATGTTTAGAAGTGTATGTATACGATTTGTGTAATATAAGCGCCGAAAGCGGCTATAACAACGGTATATTTAACCTGTTTGATTTGTGACTATATTGACGTCCATGATGTATTCGCTCGTATGATTTTACAAAGGTAGCTATAGCGGTAGAGATTCTGATGTCGAGTGTCGTTTTTTTGTTGACCTGCTGAATGTGTCCTTTTTAGACAGCGAGCTTTTGCCAATTGGGCAACGTATCATGGGAATTCTGGTACCAAAGCTTTGAAGAATGTACGGCCAACGGTTCTATTGATTTTCATTCGTAATGGCAGACTAAACTAGGGTTCGCCTAACATGAACTCGATATCGCCAGCTTCGGTTAGCATAACCATTATAAGTAGAAATGGTGGATTCTTATTAACTATCGTGTTCGTATGGAGAATACATATAGATCACCTTTGACGCCATCTTCGTTCCAAAACGCGTTTGGAAAATCATCTACAACCTCCAGATTCCTGCTTCAGCTCCTCCTCTCTCTTTGTCGACTCTATCCCATAATAATAATAATAATAATAGTGACAATAAGTATTTGACTCGTCTGAACTAAATTGGGTAAGTTGTTGTATTTCGTGTTTGTATTTGGCCGTGGTTGAAGAATTTTTTGTAGGTGCTGATATGCGAGCCGTTGGAGGCATATGGCGAAGACAGCAATGACGCGATAGGCGGACTATGGATTCGACCTGGCCGACCAGAAACCAACCTTCATCCCTGTTTAGGAACGAGGCCTTGTTTTGACACCTGCGATCAGTTTCTTTTTGGCTCGCGGTTTCCTATTGTCGTTTTCTTCATCTCCTGATTTTTGTACTCTGCGTATGCAACGACTGCCCCGATCGTCTCAGCCAACGAATTTTCCCGATCAATTTCTGCTTTTCGTTTCACGGAGATTCGCTGTCCTATTTCTCAAGAATGTATAAAGGCCGCGCCATGGATTGGATAGTAGTGGAATAATTTCGGTGAAAGTAAAGCTCTGTCCAGAAATTTACGTATGCTACGTTTCCATTTGATGATTTCTAAAAAGGGTTGAAGAACTAATTTTAGGTAGGTTATAATTCCATTCCCGTACCAGTGCGTTTTCCGTATTCAACCTACTTACGCGTAATGTCGGACGCTATTATTTTCTGAAGCGCACGGCACGTAATGTTAAGGACTAGGTTAGTTAGTTAATCGTTTACATTCTTGGCACTATTCATGGCCTCTTCCACCACCTAAATGGTACAAACATTTCGCTTTCTGGGGGCGAAAGATTCAAACGATTATTTGGTGGCACCAAGCGTTAAACGTTGTAAGATGTTTTTCTTTCTTATGGTAAGTCGGTCGTTTCAAAACATAGTAGTTGATTGTAGTTTGTATTTGAAACGATGTTTTTTGTCTCACGCACTAATTTTTGCGCTGCTGAATTCTTCGACTAGCAAAGCGTTAATTAAATTGGCGCAATTCGCCATTTCGTTAATAACGAGGCTTTTGTTCGTGTTAGTTGTTTTTTTCACAATCCCAGACAACAGAGACTCTACTACCCCGTTGGTGGACGTTCTTTCTAAACATTTGGTTCGAGCGCGACGTTTTCCCTAGAGATTTTCGTCTCCTCGTATCTGTATACATATATATATATATATATATATATATATATATATGTATATATATATATATATATTAAACTTGAACACTTCCGTACCGTACATCTTACGCTGGTCTCGACTTGGTAGCCCGATGTGATGTATTGCAACGCCAAGGGCCGTCCTCCGAACGCCGATGCTTTAGCGCTCCAGTAGACTATTTTCCTCTGGAATCTTCTACCGGTATCACTTCCAACGGGAGGAATCGTCCTAAACCATGACGCCTTGAAGCTAGGCGCTTTAGCCGCCACCACTACTACTAATAGCTGGTATGCATGGATTGTGTCTAGGCGATTTTTTAAGTGGCCTATATATATA